TACTGTCTCATCCTCCAGCCTTGCAATAAAAAGTCTGTAGAAGTTAAAAGCAGATGAGCTTAGCAAGCAAATAAATACTAAATCTTCACATTTGAAGTCTTTTTTTTACTTTAAAATCTTAATTCTGGAGTTCTGAGTGGCTGCCCGAATGCTTCTTGCTACAACTGCAAAAGATGGGCTCACTGCAGCTTCAGTGGCGTGATGTTTATGGGCTGAGGGCAGGAGACTGATGCAGTAATTGTATTGGAATTGTCCAGCCTGGGACTCTTGGCTCTGAGTTCCATAGTGACTGCTGGTGGAGCATATAGACCTTAGCATTTAGTTGGGGCCATCCAGTCCTGTGTAACAAATAGTATTATGAAGTTGAGCGGTCCTGAGGTTTAGATGAGTATGTGTCTAAATATGCAAAACTTGAAGGGGTTTTGTGTATTTTTCTTGTGCACTGCTAACTTATCTGTGGTGTGTTGAAGAGAGGAAGCTTAGCTTTATTTTTGTTACCTGTTCTTACAGTTTGGGTAATTAATTATCAATGGAGTCTCCTGAGAAAGCCAATAACATGTGGCAGTCTATAGAAGACACAGAAGAGGTTTGTTCTTAGAAGACAAAAATGTTGCCAGATCATGAGACTCCTTCCATAGTCTTAATAAATTCCAGCAGTCTGATTTTCCTTATAAACATACCTTGCCTGTGTTGATACTGATGAGCCTGCCTATGATGTTTTATTTTAAAGTGGATTTACCGTGATGAGTTCCCTATAGATATCCATTCTCAGCTTTTTTTCAGAAGAAGCTTCTAAAGAGGTTAGGATTTGAGCCATTAGCAGATAGAACACTGTAGTTATATATAAAATCTAAAGAAAGCCTACTGATGATGTTGTAAGATTTTGAAAATTAAACTGTCTAAATAACATTGGTGCTTTCTGTCACTTAGCTGAAGAATTGGCTCTGTCCTGTGTTGCCTTTGGGTTCTGATACTAGATCCTCTGAGATATGTCATAGTAATCCTATAAATAACCTGTTCCTTGGTATCTTGGTCAAGAAATGTGTGAATATTTAACGTGGGTAAGGGGCCCTTAGCGTGACAAGTCTTCTGTTGTGTATTACTTCAGTTTGCTTTTCACTGGAATTTTCAAATTTAAGTTGGATTGATTGGTTAGGGTTTTTTGGTTTTTGGTTGGATTTGTGTGGGGATTTTTTTCTGGTGGTGTGGGGTTTCTTTTGGTGTGTGGGTGGTTGTTTAAATCTTATGTGATAGCTCTTCTTTAGCAGTCAAGCCATTTGTGGTCAAAGAGAATCTGTGCAACCTTGTTTGGAGTTATCTGAGGTCCTTCTTCCTCCTATATTTTTAAAGCTTTCTGAAGATACTTTGTTAACATAGCATTGCACTGGGTTGTATTTAGTGTTAGATCCAAAATCCACCTTGGTCTTGTGAAACATTCTGGGTGGTTTACATCCAAAACAGTGCTGTCTAACAAATACATCAGACTTGGAGTTTGCTGTCCTTCAGCAGTGCAGATATGTCAATGTTTCAGATTGCTCTAAAAGGTTTTACTTAAAAATAATTTTAACAACTCATGATTTAAAATAAGCTGATATAAAGTTTATTTTGTTATAATCCTCAGATTTGTGTACCAACTAACATTTCCAAGATTTTTATGTCCAGGTATTTTTTCCAATTCTGTCTCTGAGGAGAATCAAGGAAAAAGTCTCTTGGCTTTCTTGAAGTAAACTCACAAAGAATCTAATAGCATAACTTCTTAATATACCTCATACATGGCTCAGTCTTGATCATCTTCCTGCTGTGTGCAGAAGAAGGCTTTGCCAAGTTCTTTTCCATTTCAGTTGTAGCTGTTAGATGGAGATGGTAGCTTGTCTCTGAGCAACTAGCTTGAAGGAACAGATGTGCTAGGTTTAGGGATGATTTCCTCCCTTGCCTCCATCACTCATCCCTTGTGCTGTCTGTCTTACTTGCTTAACCTCCCTCTTGTCTCCAGAAAGCTCCAAACCTATGAATAATAATCACATGGAGCAAGGAACTTCTATAGAACCTGGAAAATATACTCACAGAACAGTCTCCTTGGTTTCTTTTGTATGAGTGCAGGGTTAGGCCTGGTTGTGCTTTAAAAGTTTGTGTTCCCTATTCCAAAAATGCAGTGATGTGAATAAAATAGGATCTTCCCAAGACTGTAATTAAGGCTGGCAGAAAAGCTTTGTTCTTTAACAGCTGAAATGAAATCCAGACCTTATAAGCAGTTGGGGTGAACGCAAAGAGAATTCACATTAACTGGACACAGAATCTTGCCCAGCAAGATCATGGAGCAGATGCTTGGGGAAAGTATGGTAGGGCATGTGAAAAACCAGGAGGTGATTGGTGGCAACCAACATGGCTTCACTAAGGGCAAGTTATGACTGGCAAATTTGGTGGCCTTCTGCAGTGGGGTTACAGCGTTGGTGGTTAAGGGTGGAGAAACTGACGTCATCTACCTGGACTTTTGCAAAGCATTTGATGCTGTCCTGCATGACATCCTTGTATCTAAATTGGAGGGATATTTGATGGATGGACCACTCGGTGGATAAGGACTTGGCTGTGCCATTCTGTGTAGGGACTGGTGCTGTTTAGCATCTTTGTTGGTGACATGGACAGTGGGATCGAGTGCACCCTCATCTGGTTTCCTGATGACACCAGGCTGAGTGATGTGGTCAATGCACTGGAGGGACAGAATGCCATCCAGAGGGACCATGACAGGATTGAAAGGTGGGCCCATGCCAATCTTGTCAAGTTCAACAAGGCTAAGTGCAAGTTCCTGCACCTGGGTTGGGGCAATCCCAAGCACAAACAGAGGCTAGGAGGAGTATGGATTGAGAAGAGTCCTGAGGAGAAGGACTTGGTGGTGCTTACTGATTAAAAGCTCAACATGAACCAACAATGTGTGAGTGCAGAAGGCTGCATCAAAATAAGTGTGGCCAGCAGGTCAAAGGAGGTGATTCTCCTTTTCTACTCTTCTCTCAGGAGACCCTACCTGGAGGACTCTGTCCAGCTCTGGGGCCCCCAGCGTAAGAAAGACACGGACCTGCTCAAGCAGGTCCTGAAGAGAGCCACAGAGATGATCAGGGGTTGGACCTGGATGAGAATAGGCTAAAAGAGTTGGGATTGTTCAGCCTGGAGAAGAGAAGGCTCCAGGGAGACATTGTAGCAGCCTTCCAGTACTTAAGAGGGGGCTCACAGGAGAGGATGGGGAGAGAGGGACTCCTTATCAAGGAGTATAGTGGTAGGATGAGGGGTAATGGTTTCAAACTCAAAGCAGGCACATTTAGAGTAGATACTGGGAAGAAATTCTTTACTGTGAGGGTGGTGAGACACTGGAACTGGTTGCCCGGGGAAGCTGTGCATGCTCCATCCCTGGCAGTCTTGAAAACCAGGCTGGCTGGGGCTTTGAGCAACCTGGTCTAGTGAAAGGCATCCCTGCCCATGGCAGAGGGGTTGGAACTAGGTGGTCTTTAAGGTCCCTTCCAACCCAAACCACTCTATGAAACTGGTTGTGTAGGCAAGTCCTGCACTGAGGATGCAGGAAACTGAAAGTCACTTTCCAGCTTTCTCCAGTAAGGAGCAATCTCAGCCTTTCTCTTAAAAATCCCATGTGAGACCATAAGGCTATTGCTCATATATGCAAAAAAAAAACCTCTTGGAAAAACTGTACATGTATGTTTAGATTTAAAAAAAAAAAAAAATCTTAAAAAAATTCTTAAAACTTTCAAAACTGGTTAGGATGATCTTGGGGGAGGGAATAATGTGTAACAGTCCTGAAAATTTCCTCTCTGTGACCAGAATCTGCCTGGGGGCTCACTGAGCATTAAGTCTGGCATACAGCAAGTGGCCCAAGTAAAATAAAAAAAAAAAAAAAAAGCATGTTGACTTCTATTTTAGCTTTTGCAATCTAATGCCAGTTTTAAGATGAAAAATTTGGGAAAGGTCGAAGAGTGGCATGTTGCATTGCTTAAAACTGTGCCTAAGTGTGTCTTTGGGCTTGGTAAAAATAACCAATTTAGGGCAAGCATTTTTCTGAAGCATGTTTTGTTTTCATCGTGTCACAATTCAGTGTTAATGGATGTCTGGAAGTAAGTGATTTAAGAAATAGAGACAGTTTAAGAGGAAGAAAAATCAGTCAGGATTCCTTTACGTGCCAGTTACAGCTGACTCCCAGAGCTGTTCCATCCCACCGTGTGCTTTCAGCGTGCTGGACCTGGCAGCACAGAGCAAAGCCAGGGTCAGGAGGACAGTTCTCCAGTTCTTGTTTAACATAACTGATTTGCTCCTGGTTGCTCCACTGTCTCCTCACTCCTCATGGTGTGTTGGACACATGGCAGTTGTATCATGAGCAGGGTTTAAGACGTGGACTCCTGTACCATGTCACCTGCTCGTAACAGCCTTTGTGCTTTCCACTCCTTCCCACTTCACAGCCTGGTGTGTAGGGATGGGCACACCTACAGTTACCACAGAGGAGCTCCTGTACACTCGTCTTCCCTTGCAGATCTGTGAGTAGTTATAAATGGAATTTTCTCTGCTCTGCTTACTTGAGACTCCTCTCAAGCTGTTCAGCTCCCATCTGGTGGAATTTGGAGATAGATTGGAGAACTGCTTACCTGGAAATGTTTTTCTCTGAAGATGGCTGCTTATTGCACAATTCCCAGTGATTCTTGCCCACACACAAACATTGCCTCCAGAAACAACCAGTTGCTCTGTTAGACTTCACTGGGATTCCTTAGTAGTTTGCTAGTTTGCCAACCTGGCCTGTTCTGGTGTTTAGTTTAGGAGATGGTTAAGAGTGACAGAGGCTTCAGGTCCCGCTGCAGGTGTCTGAGGCTCAAAGTCTGAACTCGAGAACTTCCTCTCTAGTTTTGGAGGGAAACTAGTGACTCAGGAATGGGAATCTTGGAGACTGGCTGTATTGGAGAGAACAAGCATTACAGACAGGTAATCTTCTCCTTTTCTTCTAGGTTTGGAAGAACATCATTCTCAGACTCTGAGATATCTGGACTTTTTAACAGGGTGCTACCTAGAAGAATATAAGGAATTGATCCTTGTACCTTCCTTTCAATTACTTTTTTTTTGGATTTGTACCTCTTCCTTTTTCTGTGGTTTTAGATCAAGGAACACCATGAGCACAGTGAGTATTTTACTACTCAGTGCAAACCTGATTCTGAAAGTATGTGTTTTGTGGGGCTTATAGAAATGATTTTAAGAGTTTGTAGTAAATGCATGAAGGTTTAGCGTGCTTATGTTCCTGTGTAAGTTGATGTTCTGGGATACTTGAGATGTTTAATCTCCCTCAGTGCTGGCAGTAGTTCAGAAATGCTTACGGTGTGAGCAAAACCCTGATACAGCTGTGCATGAGCCTCCTCATTTGCAAACCATCACAAGATGTTTTTCCTTTGTGACCCGTCTGGTACGAGCTCTGGGGTGGTGGCTTTCCCCTGACGCAACGCGGCCAGGTAGGAGTGACCCACACCACTGTTCAGTGCACATTGCAGCCTTTCTGAGGAGCGTTTTGCCTATCCTTGTTGTGTTTTCTTTGGTGCAGCAGAGATGAGGGCCACAGTAATGTTACTCCTGAAGAAAATGCTACAGCTCTGTTCTCTCTTAGACTCAGCGAAAGCGCCGTGGAGGAGCTGTTGGTTCTCGGCAGGCGCGGAAGCGAAACAGGCTGATGACAGCTTCTACAGCAGAAATGGCTTCAGAGGCAGAGCCAATAGAACTTGAAGAAAGTGGTAAGCTGTCTTTTTAACTTGATAAGAATATCAGTTGCTTCTGGAAGATTGGGGTTCCACTGAAGAGGAGGTTTTGCCAGTTTCTAGGCCCTTTACTGGGGAGGAGTCCCCTTAGTACAGAGAGTGGCCAACTATGGGAACCCCCAAGCTTTAACAAGGTAATTAAAATTTTCTCAGTAGTTGTGCCCCATCCCTCAAGGGGACATTTACAGCACGGTAGTGTAATGTTGTTCTATCCTATGTGATCCCTGCTTTATTCTCTGTGATAAACCTCCTTTGTTAGATGCATAATCTGTTGCTGTGTACCTGCTGCCAGCTGTTGTTATACAGCAGAGCTGTATGAGTTGCTCAGCCACTGTTGTCTTGCATTGCAACTTGGAGGAGACATTGGTGTCAATGGTCTACCTGGAATCCTGAGGGCAAAGCTTGAGTGAAATGTTGCCAACGTTCCTGAAGAGCAGGGGGACAGAGAGCAAGGTTGAATCATAACTCAGGCTGTTACATGGTGGCAGGCAATTTTGTTTCTCTGCAGTCTCTGATCATTTTTCTAATGTTCTGTTTTTAAGCTGGTGAAGAAGTAGTAGATCTCACATGTGAGTCTGCTGATCCTGTAGTCGTTGATCTAACTCACAATGATTCTGTTGTGGTAAGTAGTGAATGGCAAACTTATCTAAATCTTGTAGTCCAGTTAGGTTTCTGTTGTGCTTTCTCATGGGATCTGGCTTCAGAGGGATAAGTTTTAAGTTCCAAGTTGCCTTGTCAGTGTATGAAAGCCATGTGTTAAAAGTCAGCCCCAAAACTCCCCGGAGGTGTGCTTACAGATAGCGAGGGGATAGTCTAAAATAGCTCTTTGCTCCAGAACCTGGGGAGAATATAGAACAGTCACGGGTAATGTAACATAAGTAGATGCAGTTAAAAGTTGAAGCTACAGTAGATATATCAAAGCTATAGGCCAGCAATTTAAATAGAAGGTGAAGGAGAGAGCAGTTTGTCTGCAGCCTCACAAATCTGAAGTGTTTAGCTGCAGTGTTGGTTTAAGGGACTCCTGGCAGGGAGGTGCCAAGCACAACTGTAGCTGATCATGGTACAAACCAGTTCAGTTTAGTATTCCAGAAAGTCTTAAAAAAAAAAAATCCACTGAATCTGATAGCATTCGATCCAGTCCTCAGTGTAGTTTATGACCTCAGTTTTGGGATGCCACTGCTGCCCTACAAACCAGAAACAAGTGGCAGAAATAGCATGGGGGTATCTCCTGCTGGGATTGTTCCTGAGCTTTTGCAAAGGAAAGGCCTCAAACCTGACGACATCATCTGCATTACCCCAGCCCTAGTTCCACCCAAGGCAATACTGGGTTTGGGTTTGTTTTTTTTTCTTTAGCAGCTGTCTATCTACTTTGAAGTGTTTGTGGATATCACAACTGAAGTTGCTTGTCTGAGGGAGAAAGGGGGAAAGAGTCTTCTCCAGCCCAACCCACATCTGGATACTGAAACTCAGGAGCATATCTTGTCTGGTGTTTGTATGTAACAGCAGGGGTGCGCACCAAAGTCTAACTGTGTTTTCTTTTCTCTCCCTTCCCATCTGTATCGACGCAAGATTGTTGAAGGTGAGTTGACATTTTACCACTGGTGACGGAATTGTCATAAATTTATTTTTTTCTGTGTCTCTTTTCCAGTGAACTTGAGCAGCATGGATTGAAACTGCACTTACTGAAGGGCAAAGGGCAGCGCTAAAGTATCTGAGCAGTGTCTTAGAGAATGGATCCAATCTACGTTTGATAGTTGCCATCAGAGCTTGTCGAAAATATCTGAAATAAAAGACACTGAAGCTGCTCAAAATACGTTTTCTTATTTTTCAAAGACAGAAGCTCTGTAAGCCCAAAGTTGATAGCATTTTTTAATTAGCCCTGGAATATCTGCCTTGGCTTAGAAAATGTCAAAAGGCTTTTTTTAGCCGGTATTGCTCTGAAGGATCTAAAGCAGAAAATTATTTGTGGTCATAGTATTCACTTTCATTATCTAGTCTAACACGTCTCAAAGTTTGTACTGAGAAGTATTAAGAAGTATGGATTTTTTTTTTTCTATACACCTGTCAGACCTTGTTCTGATAATATCTGAGATGTATTAGTATGTTATTTGCTTCTTTAATGTAATATGTTCTGTGCTCTGAATGGAGCAAAAGCAAGTGAAAAATACTTACAAGTTGTAGCTGGAAACTTAGGAAGGAATTCTAATTTTGTGGCTATTTATGAAATTTTAATTGATTAGTGCTTGATTGTTACATGTACACTGGAATTGCAGAAATAATTATTGCACATGGTTTATAATTATTGCACATGGTTTATAATTATTGAAAAGCAAACAGCAGTTCTTTAACCTTAGAGTGTTACAGGCCAAACAATTAAAAATGGTCTTTCAATCTTCTTTTTTCTTGGGCAATATAACTCTGCTTTCAATTTATCTTAACTCAGGAGGAATGTGATGAAAATTTTCAAGGAGACACTGCTTTTTTTTTTTTTTTATAATTTCCAAATACTAGTCTTAAAAAGACACGCTTTGCAGAAACTGCCTTTGAGTGGGGAGGTTTGGTTTAATGCAGACAAAGAAGAGTGGAACAGTTTAGTATCATCTCTGGGTAGAGCAGTGAGGAGCCACAGCAGCTCCATAATTAGCAGTTTTTTAGATTTTAAGCATCTTTCCTGTCACTTGTGAAACTTTCTGAACAAGGCACTGTTTTACAAGGTCTTTTTGTTATGGATGTGCTACCTTTCCATGCTGCTTGGCAACTTAACTGCAGTTCATTCCCTGTGTTTGTAGGGTGAATAGAGCAAATGTTTTGTGTAGAGATGTAATGGAATAGTCACAATGTCTGCAAGTGTTCAGCCCGAACGTTTAGGAAACTAGTTTGTTTGCTTTGAACCCAGCTGAATAAAGTTGGACCATTACAAACTACTTATAATCATGTATTTCAAGAACAGGTCCAGGGAGAGAGATAGATACAGATATATAAAACTAATCTATCTAACTTACCCAAATTAAATTGCAGAGAATCAACGACCAAGGAGAAATCTTAGGCTAAGAAGTCAGCGACAGTCAGACAGCTGCGTGCTGAGTAGTGATGATGAAGATGAACCAAGAGATAATGATGTGTATGTGACAGATAAAGTGTCTCAAGAACTGGGACCACTGGAAGATGAAACTGCAAGTTCCAAGTATGTATTGTATGACTTATGACCTGCCAATCATTGAATTTTACTCCTTATACATACAGGACTAAGTTATATTGCTATAGCCTGTGGATCTTTGAAGTCTTAAGTTACTCTAGTTAGTTCTCTCTTTCAATGAGTACAATATCGCTTCTCATGTGATAACCAAGTGATACCATTTGCATTTTAGGATAAAAAAACAGCCCAAGACTGAGGAGACCTTTGCATACAACCTTAAAGATGAGTGTGGGGGTATGGCAAGGAAGGACAACGAGTCACAGGCTACAGTTCATAATGTATTGCATTTACTTCTCATGCAAAGCTCTAGGAGTGATGTTAGATATGGAAACACCTTTAGTGGTGTTCATTTGGCTTCATATCATGAGACCAGTAGACAGTAGCCTGGTAAATTCCAGTAAAAACTATTATTAATTCACTGCTTTTTTACACACTGTGCCAATGAGCTGCCTTTTTCTGTCAGAGTGGGACCCATTCTGCCCCAGCTGTAATTGTAAGGCAGTGGAGGTAATACTGATATAGCCAGTTTCTGTTCTGTCCCTGGCATGCCGTGGAGCTCTGCTATGTTTCAGTGTTGGATGGGGAGCTCACTTTCTGGGCCAGGTGCCTGTGCAGTAAGGACCCCATTCCACAGAGGAGCAGTAAACTCTGCTGTAGGAGCACTCCACTATGTTAAGACACACACAGTGAATTAAATGGAACCAGGCGTCTGTGAGACTAGGGAGGACAAAGAACATGACAATAGTGGTGTAATGTTTTTTTAAGCATTTGGCGGGAGGGGTGATACAGGTTTAAATAAAACTGGTGTGCTTTGAGCCTTCTGGATTACTTGAAGGCAATGCAGGAGAGAACTTGGGTAGGGTAATTTTGGATGTCACGTCTTACATATGTTACCTAGAGAGATTATGCCATTCTAAAATGCAGCACATTTTGCGAATAGATCTGTGATTTATTTTGGTCAAGTATTTAGGGGCATAAATCCCACTAACTAGTTAATATTAAGTTTAATGTTTTGTTCCTTCAGTCTCAAGTTTCCCTGTTTAAGAATGTGCCTTCCTGCCCTGTTTAGGGAAGGCTGGAACTGCTCGGTGTTGCAGCATTTGACACTGACAGAAAGGCACTGGGGTGGCCACAGAGCTGTCTCCAGTGCTGCTCTGTAGTGTTAGACTACTTTTCCTTATGTGAAGGCCATCATCAGTTGTAATAAATCACTGAATTGATATTATAGCTGTTGCATAAGGAACTTGAGAGGTGTAATTGGAAGAATTAATCACTGCTTAAGATTGCAGGATAAATGATAACGTCTATCTTGTGCTTTCTGTTCCAGTTTAATAAATTACAAACTGTTGCTCAGCGTGGTCAGTGACATAAAGCCAAGTGTTGAAGACTTACAACGCTTCTTACCGTGACAGTTTAAAACAGAGATTGAATTGTCAATAGAAGTGGCAGGAAGCTCTGTCTCTTTCTGATAGAGCATATTACTCAGCACGTGGAGTATCGCGTGTTCCTTACACAGGACAGCAATGTCCAGAGCAGCTGTGTAAGCGTGTGTGCAGTACAGCTGTCCTGGAGGCTGGGAAGGTCTCTGTAACCACAGCCTGGTAAAACCTACTGATTTGGCCTTCCCTTTTCTGAACTAGAAATCTGTTCTTTACTATTTCTTCACATCAGTGTGTTCCTGCCCTTCATCTGATAAGGAAGGAGTTGGTGGTGTATGGTCTTGGGCTGGGATGTTGCTAAATTTGAATAGGATGAATAGGGGATGCATTATTTGCTGACAGAGTCTTTCACCTCCAGAATGACTGGTTTCCAAAGGACAGCTAGATGCCTCTGTTCCAAACCTCAACTTTACAAGCTGTCGAAGACTGATACTGCCATACATGTGCTGCACAGTGGTAGAGCCTGCTGCTCCATGCCAGAGTAGAGCAGAGTGACTAACTGCATCTTCCTCCTAATGGAAAGCAAGACACTGATTCTGCTAGATGAGGGAGACCTTATTAAAGCTACTTATTAAATGGAACACCTTGGGAGAGTTAAAGGTACTCAGGGACCTTCAGATAAGTAAGGGTAAGAAGGAAGAACCAGGGAA